TACAAGGAAATAAAAAAAAAAAAAAAAAAAAAAAAAAAAAAAAAAAAAAAAAAAAAAAAAAAAAAAAAAAAAAAAACAAGGAACGATAGAAGGATTTATGTAGTTCTGCGATTCTAAATCCTTTCTAATTTTTATTTAAAACAGAGATTTGTCATATCATTAATCAGCTTCTAGCAGTAGCTAAGTGAAAAACAATTCATCCGTGAATTAACAAAATATAATACATGTTATACAGATCTAATTAGGAAAATAAAAACAATAGATTAGACAATACTTTTAAGCAAAATATTAGAAGAAAACACTAGTGTGTACACCCTAAAAATATGCAAAATGCAAAACAATAAAAAATTTTCTGAGTTAAGAATTTGAAATGCTAAAATTTTGACCAACTGCTTTTCAAATGCAGAATTCTAGCTTGCATAGTTCTCATCCGTTATTTTCTCCTAGAATTTAAAGAAGAGAAAAAATTCTAGTATGTAATGTGCCTGATTTTTTACTTTTTCTTTCAACTTCCCAGTTAAGTACTTTTAAGTCTTACCTATGTAAAACCTGCACAAAATTACAGAAATAAAATCTCCTCTGTGCGCTAATAAAACCTTATTCAAAAACTAAAAGTTTGCATAGAAAAATTGGTAAAGAAATTCTATTTATGTTAACACTAGTATCTGTAAATTCCTATTTAATTCAATCATCGGTACCAAAAATACATTTCATAATTTTACGGACTTTCCTCACTGTCATGAAAATTACATGTAGTACTGTTGCATAGAAATCTTTGCATAAAAAACCTAACTATGAGTAAAAGCAGTAATAGCCTGGTTTAAAACATCGTACAATCCAAATCAAGTCTCAGAAAGCGTTCAGTACTTTTAAAAAACGAAATAATATCCTTAGAATTGAGTATTAAGTTGTGGTTAAGATATCATAGCATTTAAATTTATTCGTACGTAACCGAGGTTTGCGAAAAAGTTTTGAAATGGACGAGTTATTCGACAGAATCCAGAAGAATAACAAAAATGTGTAACATCTTAAATTTAAGCTGCTAGGAAATTCAGTTCATTGTCATAACATTTCAGCATCATTTCCTAGTTTTATTATTATTTTAAATCAGACAGAAGAGGATGTAGTTTAATAACTTAGCAAAATCATATTTCTTCAATACAATATTACATACGTTATACAAGCTTGAGATGGAAAAGAAAATTTTAGTTGCTCTTAATGTCATTTAAGAGTCTAAATTCAAAAATAGCTCTGAAAATGATGCATCATTTGCCCTTTTATACAAACATGAATTTTTACCGCATAGTAAGCATTCCAACATACAAAATAGAATAAATAAGTTGGATTAAAAATTTATTACCAATTTTATTATAAATTATAAATTTTTAAACGTTTTATTTTATTGTTAAGGAAGCTGCGATTCTTTTGCATAATGATAAAATGTTTGCCTCCAATTTTGTTAAAATGAAAATTGAAAACATTCTTTACTCATTTAGCAAAGTAGAGGGATGAAGAATACGAACTTACTGAGACAATAAACTATTACACTTGTTTATTGGATTACAAGTTAATTACATAAATTTCGTTTCATATACAAGTGAGAACAATAGATAAAAAAATCAACATTGAGGGAAAAAACACTGTCTATTAAAAAATTTTGTCAACCTCGCAGATGGAAAACCCTTTACATTAAAGTCTACTGCCAAGAAAATTTTTCTTGCCATTATTTCACATAAAATTAGATTTCATTAAAATGTTTCAGATGACAATAACAAAATGGACACTTGTTTAATTACTTTTGTGAAAATCACCTCTATTATTCCTCGCTTAATTGCCAAGTTGAAGGGAGATATTGAAAATCAATGAAAGGTGAAGACTTTAAAATATTGTAACATCTAAAAGGAAACTTCATTTGACAAAAAGAGTCTCATAACTAAATGCTTCGATTACAATAGATTCGCGGATTTTGTGTTCATCCTTAAGAAATGAATCTGAATTAGCCTATTCAATCTATACGAAACTTCACATTTTTAATTGAAACCTAGATCTTTCTGTTTTTCAAAATTTCTCAGCACAGCAAGGGAGGAGGAAAAATGTATTTTCCATTAAGACATTAAAGGAGTGGCTAATTACATTAGGGTTACTTGAATGCTAATATGATTAGACAGTATTGCTAAATGAGGCTCGACACAAATAAAAAAAATTAGTTAAAAAAATACTGCCAAGTTCTTAGATTTCTGACTGCGAATTTTGCTTATGAAAACAATATTTAATATTTTGCGTACCTTGTCTACAAAAGTGAATGTAATGTACATACACTTCTATAGAAAGTACGTTACCTGAATAATAAACGATATATACATATATCTATATCTATATAGAAAGATAGATAGATAGTTGATAAATAAACATACGTATATGTGTGTGTGTGTGTGTCATTATGGCAAAGCCTCGAGGGCTATCTGCCTAAGGGGAGGGATGCCTTCGTGGAGGACTTTCTAAGGAAAACTGGCTCGTATACACGTTACACATGGGGAAAACCACGAAAACGCCCATGCAGCCAGCCCGTTCGCGGGATTCGAACCTCGGACCGAACTACCAGTGATCAACGACTTTACCGCTCGGCGATGGTGGGCAACATACGTATATATAATATATATATATATTCAACAATCTCTCTCTTTCTCTCTCTATATATACACACGCGTTCAAGAAATCTTAATAAGCTCCATTAAGAATTAATTATCGATTTTATTATAAATTTTTAAACTTTTTTTTTTATTGTAAAGGAAGCTGGAGTTTTTTTTTTTTTTTTTTTTTTTTTTTTTTTTTTTCCATAATGGAAAAAAAAGTTTGCTTCCATCCTTTTTATTAAAAAGAAAATTGAAAAAGCTGCCAACTTTTCTTGTAACTTATTCTTTCTTAAACATATAATGGTTAAAATTAAGAGAGCCCAAAGCTCCATAATGTTGCATTTAAAGTATGATTTTTTTTATATTTTTGGTAATATTAAATAAATGTTTTAAAATTACCTTTCTACATTTTTCAGGGCTCGACTGACAGTAAAATGAATTAATGATGAGTTTTTAAAATTTTCAGAAGTATTTAAAATATGCATCATAGTTTTACAATTCAAAGGGAAAACTTTTAATTCTTTTGGCTTAATTTTTTATTTTAGTGATTGGATAACCTAAAATAATAAAAATACAAGCTGCCAACTTTTCATATTATTAATCAATTTATATGTACTCCTTTACATTCCTTTTATTATTTGTATACTTCGTAATTGATTACTTATTAATTTTATTAATTAAAAGCGAGAAAATTCAGATTTTAAAGCTGCCTACCATAATGTAAAAATTTATCTTTGACTGAAATAACTCGCAGTTTATTTTTAAGCCACTACTAAAATTCACTTAAAAATTATTACACATTATGTAATGTTATGATGTTTTCTGTAATCGTACTTATAAACCACAACTACTTTTCAAGGCAGCAAACCTATTCAAAAGATTATTTACCTCTATGTCTTGTCTTTTCAGCTAACGTAAGAAAAGTATAACTATTTGTATTTACTGGCAATTTGATTTTACTTCAACAGCATGTATTTGCTCTTTTATTAACATGAGATTAAGTACTGTGTTTTGCATTATTCTTTCATTACGTTTTTAGACAGGTTTACGGTTAATAAATTCAAGAAACTTTTTCTTTTTTTTCCTTTTAAGTTGTAATATACTACTTTTGACTACACTACTAAAGAAAGGACATTATTATACGTTTTACATGCTTGTTACTGTAAATAACATAATAAAAATATAACAGAGTTGAATTTACATATTTCGAGAAAACATTATTGTTTTAAAAATTAGCGTAAAGTTATTACATAAAATGTGGTTCTTACTGAAAATGAAATTGAACACAAACATGTGGAAATGCGTTAAAAATTTTACAAATATTTACATCATATTCTAACAAAAGAATGGATATTTATATGTCAAATTAATTTCGATAACATAAAAGAAATTTTGTTAACTGTTCCTAGGATTTTCACAGAGATTTATAAAATATGCATTGGTAATTATTTAATTTTTAATAGGATTTTCCCAGTGCAATGAAGATTAACGAACAATCTTTAGTAAATATCATTGCGAAATTTGCTTTTGTTATTTTAATGTATATTGTAAATATATTCACTCAGATGAGAAAATTAAAGGATATATTAGCGATGCATCTCTTGTTATGTTGATGACATTTTTAATATTTACATGCCGAGAAAACACAACGTGTGTGTTAGATATTAATTAGGTAATGCTTTCGAACATGCATATGTATACTTTATGATCGTATTACTAAGACAATACGCAGCATTGTCTTTATTACAGGCAATATTGTCAATATGTGTTACGGGACACAGCTATGTGTTAATCTTATAAAAAAAATAGTAAATTGCACAAACATGAGTTCAGAAAATAATGATATGATCTACCTAAGTAGTAATAAATATAATAAATAAGAAGATAAAACGTGGAATATTATATTTTTATAGTGATACAATATAATATGAAACTGTTATGTATTGTTAAGAATTTATTTGAGCCTTTATAAGAATTGAGAGCATATTCCTCTCAAATTAATATGTCAAAACGATACATAAAACTACATAGCGTTATTTTCTGTAATTAAATCTTTTACAATAAATGCAATTAAAATACTAGGAGAGTTAAGTTAGAGCATTTTAAACAATTCCGAGTTAATTTATAAATATGCGATACTACATTTTAAAGAATAAAATTGATTTCGATTTTAGTTTAAAATAACATTCGTTTAGAATAAGTTTTTTTGTCTTGGAGCTAAATTCCTAGATGCTAGAGAAATATCTACCACTGAACTAAAGATTAGAGAAGGTGCCATTATACAGTTTACAAGTGGGAATGTAGTAATTATTATGTGTCTGCAAGTACCATATTTCGTAAGATCTTAATACCAGTTGAATGACTTACCTTTAATCAGTTATTTTTTCTGATACTTGCTACATAATCCTTTCATTCACACCAAACATTTTCACGAGGTAAAAGGCAAAAAAGTTAACAAAGGTTCTCATGTTAACTCGATAACTGGATCTCAAGCAAGTTAACTGCGCAAAGAGAAGTTATATTGTAAAGATTATTCATACAACAACTTCTGGATCAAAACAATGATAATACAATCCTCACACCACACCTCTTACAGAAATCTGCTCAATCATTCTTTTCCGTGACTTTAATTTGTACGTGTACGTGAATTACCCCTAAAGTTCTCGTGCAGAAATATATGATTGCGCATTAGTAGGGTAGCCAGAGGGGCCTTTCACGGTAGAATAGCTTCATCGCACGTCAGAAGGAACAGTGTTAACAGAACAAAAAGAAAAGAAGAAAAGAAAGTCCTAGGTCTCATAATGAAAGGAAAGGAAACGGACTGTGTTGGGTTATTTCTTACAAAAATGACACCATGTCGATAATTGTCTCGAATAGCCATTTTTAAAACTAAAAAGTATGGAAAAAGTATGGAAGAAGTAAAGTAAGAAGTAAAGTATGGAATCCAGTGTCTCGCTCATAATTGTAAATCGTTTTTTTTTTTTTTCTTTCTGTAGACATGCGCATCCTCAAAAGCATCTGTTCATAGCACTTGAAGTCAACGTATTATTTTGGTTTAAAATAGAAGTAACAAATTTTCAATCTATTTTGTGACAAACTGGGAGGAGGAATCTTCTCCTACGGGACTAGAGGTGACGATGTTAAAAATAAATTTATTTAACAGAAGACAAGAAGGCAAAATTAAATACAAAATTTAAAATTTATATGATTTATATAAGTGAGTGAATCTGCATCTGGTCAATAGCATGCTTTCCTGTATTAATCAGGCTTGTTAACATTGTTTACTAAAAAACGTTGTGAAAATAAAGATTTAGCGTTGGGAAGTCAGATATTCTTAGCTATTTTCTCCGTTTCTTTAAGAAACTAAACAATATAATGCTGTACTGCATTAAACTATAAATAACCATTTAATAGGATAACTACAGATAACTCATAAATCTGGGATATCATTTTAATTTCTCCTTTTCTGTATTTATCGGGTACAAGGAAAACACATGTAGCTGAAAAGTTCGTAATTTTAGAATCCACCACATTTCTTGTGCAGACACCTTTTCCTCTCACTGGTCAACAAATTTCATCATACGTGCTAAAATAAATGTATTATAAAAATGTTGCTCATAAAGTTAAATTACATCAAGATAAAGCTAGGAGTCTCGATATCCATGTGTCAGTTTTATAATTACACACATAATTTAAGTTTATCACTTGCTAATATGGCGGTGTACGAGAAGTTGCTCTATAATGAAATTCGTAAGATGCGACATTAGAAATGTCTTTTATCAATTAAAATAATGGACTGAATTTTTAGAAAAATAATAAATGAATTTATATTTATAAATAACATCAATTAAAGATGCTTTAAAAAAGAAATAAAGGTATAAATAATTGAAAATCCGTATTATGTCTTTAAATAGCTCAATTAATTAAGAAAAACATATTTTTTATTTGAAAAGTAAATCAAATGTCTTATATTATGTTGAAAGACAACATTTCTGAATACTGGCAATTTCATAGGCAGTAGAACTGATAAATTAAATAGCTTATTCCTCGCTTCCTGGTCATTTTCCAGGTCCCACAGATAATAAATACCTTGATCGCAACATAAGGGAATGAAAGAATGAGAAACTTAATTTTTAATTTCTCTAATGCCGCACTTTAATGATTTCTCATGACAACTCTCAAGTATATGCTTGGCTTTAAATGGGAAAGTACTTTTGATAATACAGCCTTTTTTAAATTATTAGAAAATTAAGGTTAAAAATTATATAAACTGAGGCATTCCTTTTTTTCTGGCAACAACATCCATTCAATCATACATAAATGCTAAGGCACTTATGTATGTAAATCTTCCAAAAAATGCGAAGTTTCACCACAAATGTAAATTTGCAGTACTTTGAATATATCTTCTGATCAGTACTGCTTTTGTTTTCTCAAATCTTACTTTATTATTTGTCATAAAGAGTGATTTTATAGCGACTTGAATTTAAACAACTGTTTTAGCAAATCTCACTGAAATTTTTCAAAATTTCGAAAATGCCATATTTTTACCCCGAATTTTAAATAAATAAGACAGTTTCAAATATTTTCTTATAATTTTCGTATTCCTTTTACAACTTTAAAATTATTTTTCGTATCTAAATATTTTCATTGAAAATTTACTCAAAAATCATTACTCAAAGAAATTTTGCTTTAGCATTTTAACCCACTTTGACTGTATTGTGTTGTACTGTACTGTCTGTTATTCAAGATGTTCAGATTGAGATCCAAGAAATGCTTGGCAGACATCACTTAATTATGGAAAAAGGACATTTATCTACAAAACTTAAAGCTGTCATACATTATCTTTCAGTTAAAAGAAACAGCTGAAAAGGCAGTAGATTCTGCCTTGAAAAGGGAAAAACCGTGGGCATATAATATAAAGTAATTCTCAAATATCTGACAAAAATATAAAGGTGTGTATAGGGGACCGAAATAACAAGATTTTGCAACGGAATACACGTACGGAATTGGCGAATGCATACTTCCATATAAAGAAAGTTTGAACAAATAGTACGTAAGAAAGGCCGAAAATATTTGAACAAATAGTACGTAAGAAAGGCCGGAAATATTTGAACAAATAGTACGTAAGAAATGATTAAATATTTGTCAAAAGAAACAAACATTTAATCATTCAAAATTTTACAGTAACATCAGTAATACTGGATTCATTCTTGCACAGTTCCAGGATTTCCTTCCTCAGCCCAATGCATGACACACGTGTCGAGGCGAACAGCGATGCATACTACTCAGAAACTGCACAGCGAATGATGATTTACGCCAGCGGACCGCTTTCACCTACTTGTCTGAACAGTGGCCCCCTTATATCTTCAATTTACCATTTCTGCTTACTCATTGTATTAAAAAATCCGCTTATTTTTTCCCCTCTACCTGTCTTTAAATTTTGACCAGGTATTTTAGAAGCACCTTGTGTAACGCATCAAATGCACAAATCACTTAAACATACTTTGTACAAATCTCTTGAAAGGGAATCCCATAACACCATTCACATCAGTACCATAATGTGACTCTTTTATGGCCGAAATTCAAAAATATAAATACCCCAAGGCTTATTTATTAGAGGACTTATTATTTGGTATTAATACTATATACCAGGTAGACTTTTATTTTGGTAGCGATAGCGTAAATGTTTGGCAATCCCAGACGGCTCTGTGAAATTCGCATTTTTTTTTTCCGAGTTAAAATATTTATTACAATAAGGTTAAGAATATTTTTCCCATTCAAAAGTAATGTAATTACAAGTAGTATATTAACCCTAAAAAGCATGGAATGCAGGTTAAGGAAAAGAAAAGTATAAAGTTAGTCTTAGGTGCACATCGGTTAATTTAAGGTGCATTTCTAGGTGCACATAGGTTAATTGATATGTACTTCAGAGTTTTTGTTTAAATGCCTTAACTAATTAGTTGACTAATTGTTGCATATTTGGGGTAGTTTAAACTGAAAAAATTTCAGTTCATTAGATAAAATGAATATCTTCTTGTACTTTTATCACATTCAGACAACACTCACACAACGAAAAAAAAAAGGAATGTAAAGATAAGACACCAGTTTGATATGCTCCAAAGAGCAAAGGTATTTGGGAAGTATGTTTCTAACACTTGCAATTTTTCGGTAATTTTCATGAGCAATTATTGCCAATTAAATGGCAATTTACATTTACGTGTAAGGAAGAATTATGAATGTGATATTTTGCCCAATCTCTCGTCAAATATTTACTTTCCAGCTTTTAGCTAGTCGAAGAGGAGAAGCGGTTTGAGAGAGAAGGAAAGAAAGACTGCAATGCCTAAATCAAGTGATATGATTGCCTCACAGTTTCAAAAACTTTCATTGTGGAAAATGATGTTAAGTTTGCGAAAAATTTTGTGCATTTATTTGTCTACAAGATAAGTTAATAAATAATGTCAGATCTTGAAAGTTCACAAAAAGCGATCGTAATTTCAAATACAAATGGGGCTTTGATATTTTCTCTGGCCATTCTAAAATGTTTTATGCTTATACGTAAACTCTAAGTAGG